ATGCGGCCCAAGGACCCAGTACCCGTTAGCCAAAAGTCCGGTGTCATTTACCACCTCGACTGTCTTTGTGGTCAAGCCAATTATGTTGGTGAAACTGGCAAACGGGTTATCACGAGAATGCACCAGCATGAACTCGCCGTGCGACGGAAGGACAAGCCTTCCCTGGGGGCTGCCCACGCATCCACACCAGGGCACGGCTTCGACTTCGAACGCGTGCGAATACTGGGCCGATCAGACAACCGAACTTCACGCCTGCTGCAGAAAGCATGGCATTCACGGGCGGGCTCAATTAACAGGCATATCGAGCTTCCTGATGCCTACCTCGCGTTGCGCGAGCACATCGAGGGCAGAGGTCATTCCCGGCAGAACCGAGTTAAATACACTGTGAGCTGTACAGTTTTTTCCTCCCTTGACAATGAGCTCGCGGGAAGGTTCGAAACTTCGGACAAATAAACCCCTGGTCCCAGACAGCGTCTTACCTTCTTCTATTCAGTTGCCTGGGCCTCGCATACACTCGACTATTCAGAATGGACAATATACAGGACACATTCCAGACGGCCGCCGGGGACACAAAAAAGAAGGCAGACAAAGCGACGGGACGCACTGTTAAGTGACGAGAAAGGAATGCGGGAAAATAGGGGGGCAAAAAAGCAACTGCTGCGGACAATGGCATACAGAGCATGAGTGTTCATACTCAATCTGACTGCAAATGGGTGTCCGTTTGAATAATTGAGAAATGGTGATTGTCAACGTCATCGATGATGTGTATACATGGAAGGACACGGGCTGAGGAGGACAGGCGTCAATATATCGAAACGGCGAGAGAAGACCGAAATGCGAAGCAATAGGAGGGGCATTAGGGGAGGGGGGAGGAGAGCATCGGGGAGAAAAGACAGGGGGCGGGGAGGAATAAAGAATGCGAGGGCGGAGGTGTGTTCGCACAATTGCATTGTTGTTTGGGTTGCTCCTCCGAGATGCATTCGTGGCAGGCAAATGTAACTACAAAGAAGAAGAAGGCGAAGAATAAACATTAGAGGATGTATAAAAAAAGAACAGTAAGGGTTTAAGAGTGACAATCAGAAAGCCTGCAAATACAGGAGTGCGTAATTGTGATATTACGAATTTCAGCAAGATGAGAGGAAGAGGTAACAGCGACCACAGAATAAGCCGCAAAGTAACGGACGAGCAGAGTACTCTTGCTTGGTCAAAACTGACTTGTAAGGCCCTCTAAATATCTATTGCCCCCGCCCAAATGCTTAACGTAGTTTGTGGTCAAACATTTGATCCTTGGCTAGTAAATTTAAATGAATATTTAATTGTGGCGAAAGGGATCGAAAATATTAAAGTAAATAAAGTTATGTTTGTTTTATTATACTAAAATAGAATGAAATTCTATCAATATGAACTCCTGTTGCGCAGGATACGAATGACAAGTGAGGGAAATGCAACATTATGTAGGCAAAAGTTTACGAAAATGGAAATTCGACCTCCTATTTATGAAATTTAACGAAAAAAATGGAAAGTCGGGCTACTGAAAACAGAAAAGCAGTCTTTTTATTATAATTCGACGGGATTTAGAGCCTCTAAAATGAGTCCTGCCCTCGCTTGCAACTACAGGGCTGTTTTATCGGAAAAGGCACAACCTGTTCAGAAGAAGAACCAAGAAAGTTCACACATCGGCCGGAGAAGAGGCTCAAGCGTACAAAACGCTTAAGTCGGCGAAGGTAAGCAGAAACAGTGATTGGAAAATATCGACAAGGGTGCAAAGGTTAAAGTTCTGGGTGTTTGTATAAGTAAAGAGAAAGGCTGGTCGAGCATGGGAACAACCTGCATGTTATTCTGAACTTTCAATATCATGCAGGAATTCGTCGCGAAAAATAGTAGCAGCAACATAAAGGGCTGCACTTATAGGCGGCAAAAACTAATCAAGGGTGCAAGTCTGAAGACGACTACACAGGTTTCGTATGCCTATCGATCGATTGAGTTCCCACCCGATGGACAAACTTCAATCACTTCTCGATTCCTCTTATTTCCGGTGTGGACGATTATCCTGACGGCCGTGGAGATGATCTCGTGGCACGTTTCATAAGAGTGGGCACTCATTTGCGATAAATTGCTGCCTATTCACACAGCCCGCTTATGTATGCGCGACCCGAGGGTGTGTCCAGTCTGACCTGTGTAGTTGCAAAGACAGTTTAGGCATGAGACGCGATCCACCACGCCAGACTGCTCCTTGAGGTTTAGTCGGTGTGGGATTTTTATGACCCTGCTGCGCATGTTAGCTTTCGACTGGTGTGAAATTCCTCAACCTAGTGTCCACATACCGGGGCCAAGGATGAACTAAATTTATTGTACAGTAGATTCACTATCTCATGCAATGGCACCCGGAATTCTGAAATGAGTTTTCGATTGGAAACATATTAATTGCGGATGGTTGTAATAGAGACAATCGTACAGCCTAATCTCAAAATATTTTGGATGCCGGCTTTTAAACGAGCTTCTTTCTGATCACCAAGACGAAGCATATACTATAAAAAGTGACTTCTTATGTAGCATACCTTTTTGTCATTAATTTCGACTGCCCTTATAGATTCAAATATATTCTTTTATGCCTTTTTGTCACTAATTTTGACTGCCTTTATAGATTCAAATATATTTTTTGGAAAACATGCAGGAAAAAATATTTCTTGTGCTCTTTTGGTATAAAATAACGCCTTCTTTAAATTTTATACTTAAAGGAAGGGTATCTTTCGGTTTTAAAAAAGTTTCTGGATTGCCGAAAAATTTTGAAACCTAGTGACCGCTACACTGGAATAAAGGTTTAGAACTGCGCACTGTGTACATCCTGTTTAAGGAAAAGTACGTTTTCGCCTACAGCGTGAGGAAGATCTCACATAGTGCTCACAAAATGTTGCAATCGATGTGGAGCATACTTTATACAGTAAAGGCAGCATTAACAAATGACGGATACGGCGTTCTCTGAAAAAACACCTGAAAATCGTAAAAAAGCTCATAATTAGA